CTCATCCCAGCCTGCACATGCAAGGGACTAGTGACAGAAATTCTAAGGCCTAGTTTCTCAAAAGTCCTCTCTAGGACCTATGCTCGACATCTTCTTAACGTTTGAAAAACTTTGAAAGGTACCTGAATATTGATCGATGGAACCGGTTGTTGCCTTCCAGGCATTGTTTGAGCAGGTGGGGTCAGATACGGTGCAGGGGCAGGTGCACCCATCGGAGGTCCGAGTTGTGTTGCTGAGGGCTGTTTCTGAAGTCCCATCGATCCACCACCACTACTGCCCATCATTCCTCCACCTCCCATTCCCGTTCCCTGGAATGGTTCAATGATACTTGTGCAATCAATTGTCCACACCTAACATTTTTTATCCTCTTGACTCGAGCTTAGGCGTTCAGGCCGAAACCAATTGGATACAATTGGTTTCGGCCTGAACGCCTAAGCACCTGATCGCTTATTTGCCTATTCGCCCAATGGATACTTGTTTATTCGCCCACTCATCTCCACAATGCCCAACCGTCTAGCATACCTGCATCATCTGAGCAGCAGTGAAAATCTGCGTGGGACCCCGGTTTTCCATCGGATTTCGTTTTATTCTCGGCGGACTTCGTACTGGTGGATGTGTGGCTCGCCAATAAGCTTCCAGAAAATCGGCAAGATGCTCACATGCGTCTTCCAATTGATTCTCATCCAAGAGCACATCGAACAATTCCTGGAAATCAATAAATCGATTCCTTATGGAAAGCAATTTGAGAAATGAAGTTTTACAAATGGTCCAGGAAAAAAATTTCGGAACTGGGACGACACTCCTGGTGATGACCTCCTATACAACCCCTCCTCTCCCTCCATCGATCACACCTCCGCACCTGTCACCACTTGACACACTCTAAACACGCCCTTGAATTCCTTAGAGCAGCCATCCACAGAAAGAGGAGACATTTTGTACGACTCTTAAACTGTAAATTATACAAATTTCCAATTCATTTTTGTAATAAGAACGAAAATTTTTCCCCATTCGAAAAAGTTCCCTCTCACCTCAGTTGTCAAATCGGCAGGAAATTCTCAACGCTGAGGACGCTGTCACAGGGACATTTTCACCGCCCCTTTGAGGCTTAATGCAGTGGATGAGAGAAAAATCGAATATTCAGAAAAAAGAGCGGAAAAGGGATGGTTGAATTGATTGAAACATATGCTGTAAAATCGAAAAGGGCTGAAAGGATTCAAAAATTGCGTACCACTTCTGTGGCTTTCGTTTTTCGCATGGTTTTCTAATTCTCTTGTAGACAGTTCAATGGGAACTAACAATTTTCTAACTCTTCCTTCGGATATTCTCACTCACAGATAGCTGCAGGAAAAAGGATCAACCATACGGTGCTCCAATTTTCATAATTTTGACGATGCCCACAAACTGAAACCTAGGGAGTTCCCTCATAAGATCCATTTCCCGCAACTACGACCCCCTAAGTCTCCACGAATACGAAATTCTTTTCGACCTTCAAGTCAAACCCAAATATGACCCTCCTCAATGAAAACCGTGCAACGGAGCTTTGACCCCGCCAGCAACGAGAGTCGTTCATAAAGATAAAAAGAGGCTTGTGCTCTGAGTGATAAAGTCATGTTGGGACACCCAGCAAATTACCATAATGGGAGTTGACGGGAAGAGGTGTTGCACTGGCTAATAAGGTCTGCAAAATTTGCAAGGCTTGAAGGCAAAATATACGATAACAAACTGTGGTAAAGTACGAATATAGCACAGTCGAGGCTAGTTGCCTTACTATTGAAG